GACACACACACACACACACACACACACACACACACACACACACACACACACACACACACACAGAGAGAGAGAGAGCTTTCTTTATTACTAATTTAAAACTAGTGATGGGAATTATGGCTCTTTGAAGGGAGCCAAATCTTATGGCTCCGTTCCTTTCCGAGAGCCGTTCAAAAGAGCCGTTATAAGAGGGCGGGGTTAATAGGTTTATCTGTGAAAGGATCACCAGGATAATGATTGACTGTATTGCCAGAAATCTACTTTTACTCACAGACAAAAGTATAATTTGCTACATCTCTCAGCCAGCTAAACAACTACTCAAGCAGCAAGCGTTACGCCGTCATCATATATGGCTAATGTGCATTCAGGAAAGCAAGTTCCTGTGAAGGCGAGTGGATTTATGGCAGGCAGCGAACCAACGATAAAAAGAACGGCGCTCACCAAGTACGACTCGGTTCCCTTGGTTCGTACCAAAAAGACACTCAAAATAATCGGATGGTTGGCGAACGTAACATCACTAATTAAAACTCTTGGTCCTCACCCTCCTCCACGGTGGAGTCGAGCTGCGTCACCTTCACGGCCAGCTGGTCCACCCTCTCCTGCAGGCTGCTCATCCTCAGGTAGAAGCTGTTGGCCTCGTTGAACAGCTCTCCGAAAATGTCTTCTGCATGGCGACCTGGACGGAAACACAGACACACACATATACAATTACATTTAAAATAGTATACAATATTGCATTCTGGGGGTTCAGTCACTGGGAATTTCTTGATTTATGCAGCAGGCATTACAGTTTAATGGGACTAACAGAAATGACTATAAAATCCCTTTTCAGTGAGTTATAGCCCAAATAAAAGTTAGAAAACTGTCCAAACACATTCAGATTAAACACGAGATGATTGGAATTCACCGAGATGGATGTCTGTTGTGTGTGAATTACAAATATTTTAATGTATGTACTGAGAAGCCATCCCCAATAACACAGCCACCTCCGAGCCTAATGAAATGCACACACATATAAACATGCACACATCTCTCTGCCTCTAAACCAATGAGATGACAGATGGAGTCGAGGCAGAGCATTTCTCACAGAGCTGTCGCTGAATGTCATTTAGACGCTGACTGTTAATCTAATTTAAACAGGACCTGTGTTTCACTGAATAATCGCTCGTCTGGCACAAGTGTGTGCTCTGCAACTCAACTTGGAGGTGGACTGAGATGAGTTTCAAATGCTAGTGTGGACAGGAGGCTTTCGTATTTAAGCATAGGTAGCAAGATGAATTCAGGTTAGTAGACAATGTTACAAAATCTAGTCATTCACGATAAAGGAAATACAAATTCATTCGTAAGTTTAGGGCTGAACACAAATAGCATTCATTTTGCATTGTTATTCTCATTAAAAGATATATTAAAATGATGACTCTACGATACTTCATTAAAATTGTATTTGAACACATATTAAGCCTTTAAAAAATATTGTGCTTCCTGCGATATGAATATAGCTTCGTCCATATTGTGATCTCAGATATTTGACCGAGCCCCCTGTCTGTGTCAAACATGACTCTTTTCCTGAAGCGTCAACCAGACATTTCACCGAGCCCCCTGTGTGCCCCCCCCCACTTGACTCCTGATACTCACTGAGGCTGCCCAGCTGTTTGATGATGGCTGCCAGAGTGCTGTTGGTCACACACTCCAGCTCACTGGTCACCCCGTCAGGCAACGCCCCGCGGCAGAGGTGCCGGGGCTCGATGTTCCTCTTCACCAACGGCATGCTGGTCTACGTCTGAGGAGAGAGAGAGAGAGAGAGAGAGAGAGAGAGAGAGAGAGAGAGGATTAGTTAAAGGTCACCTATTATGATAAATCCACTTCTTCATGTCTCTTCTACATCAACATGTGTCCCCTCTTCTTCATGTCTCTTCTACATCAACATGTGTCCCCTCTTCTTCATGTCTCTTCTACATCAACATGTGTCCCCTCTTCTTCATGTCTCTTCTACATCAACATGTGTCCCCTCTTCTTCATGTCTCTTCTACATCAACATGTGTCCCCTCTTCTTCATGTCTCTTCTACATCAACATGTGTCCCCTCTTCTTCATGTCTCTTCTACATCAACATGTGTCCCCTCTTCTTCACG